ACCCGACGACTCCGGCGACGACTTCCGAACCGGCGCGCTCGTTTCAGGACAGAGATCTTGGACATCCGGCGAACCCGACGACTCCAGCGACGACTTCCGAACCGGCGCGCTCGTTTCAGGACAGAGATCTTGGACATCCGGCGAACCCGACGACTCCGGCGACGACTTCCGAACCCGCGCGCTCGTTTCAGGACAGAGATCTTGGACATCGGGCGATTCCGACGACTCCGGCGACGACTTCCGAACCGGCGCACTCGTTTCAGGACAGAGATCTTGGACATCCGGCGACTCCGACGACTCCAGCGACGACTTCCAAACCGGCGCACTCGTGTCAGGACAGATCCCGGACATCCGGCGAATCCGACGCATCCGGCGACGAATTCCGAACCGGCGCGCTCGTTTAAGGACAGAGATCTTGGAGACTCCCGACGATCTTGCGACGATCCGAACCGGCGCGCTCGTTTCAGGACAGAGATCTTGGACATCCGGCGAACCCGACGACTCCGGCGACGACTTCCGAACCGGCGCGCTCGTTTCAGGACAGATCTTGGACATCCGGCGACTCCGACGACTCCAGCGACGACTTCCAAACCGGCGCACTCGTTTCAGGACAGAGATCCCGGACATCCGGCGAATCCGACGCATCCGGCGACGAATTCCGAACCGGCGCGCTCGTTTCAGGACAGAGATCTTGGACATCCGGCGACTCCGACGACTCCGGCGACGACTTCCGAACCGGCGCACTCGTGTCAGGACAGATCCCGGACATCCGGCGACTCCGACGACTCCGGCGACGAATTCCGAACCGGCGCGCTCGTTTCAGGACAGATCTTGGACATCCGGCGACTCCGACGACTCCAGCGACGACTTCCGAACCGGCGCGCTCGTTTCAGGACAGAGATCTTGGACATCCGGCGAACCCGACGACTCCGGCGACGAATTCCGAACCGCGCGCTCGTTTCAGGACAGAGATCTTGGACATCGGGCGATTCCGACGACTCCGGCGACGACTTCCGAACCGGCGCACTCGTGTCAGGACAGATCCCGGACATCCGGCGAATCCGACGCATCCGGCGACGAATTCCGAACCGGCGCGCTCGTTTCAGGACAGAGATCTTGGACATCCGGCGAACCCGACGACTCCAGCGACGACTTCCAAACGGGCGCACTCGTGTCAGGACAGATCCCGGACATCCGGCGAATCCGACGCATCCGGCGACGAATTCCGAACCGGCGCGCTCGTTTCAGGACAGAGATCTTGGACATCCGGCGAACCCGACGACTCCGGCGACGAATTCCGAACCGGCGCACTCGTGTCAGGACAGATCCCGGACATCCGGCGAATCCGACGACTCCGGCGACGAATTCCACACCGCCGCACTCGTTTCAGGACAGATCCTGGACATCTGGCGAATCCGACGACTCCGGCGACTAATTCCACACCTTCGCACTCGTTTCAGCTCAGATCCTGGACATCCGGCGAACCCGACGAATCAGGCGACGAATTCCGAACCGGCGCACTCGTGTCAGGACAGATCCTGGACATCCGGCGAACCCGACGAATCCGGCGACGAATTCCGAGCCGGCGCACTCGTTTCAGGACAGGTCCTGGACATCCGGCGAGTCCGACGATTCTGGCGGCGAATTCCACACCGGCGCCCTCGCGTGGGACATCCCCAGAAAAACCGAACCCCTGAGCCTCCCCAAGGAGGCCCTCAGAAGCCCCCCTGTTCCGTTTCGGGCGAGATCTGGGAAATTTGGCGAATCCGGCGAACCTGCTGGCGACGAATTCCAAACCAGTGTCCTCGCGTGGGACATCTCAGAAAACCGCTCCCGGAGCCTCCCCAAGGAGGCCCTCAGAGGCTTCACTGTTCCGTTTCAGGCGAGATCCAGGAAATCCGGTGAAACTGGCGAATCCGGCGACGAATTCCAAACTGGCGCTCTCGCGTGGGACATCCAAGGAAAAATTGCCCCCGGAGCCTCCCCAAGGAGGGCCTCAGAGGCCTCTCTGTTCCGTTTCACGTTAGATCCGGGAAATCTGGCGAATCAGGCGAATCCGGCGACAAATCCAAACCAGCGCACTCGCGTGGGACATCCTCAGAAAAAAAAGCGCTCCCAGAGCGTCTCCAAGAAGGCCCTCAGAGGCTCCCCTGTTCCGTTCAGGCGAGATCCGGCCAATCCTGTAAATGTGGCGACGAATTAACCGGCGCCCTCGCGTGGGACATCCTCAGAAAAACCGCCCAGAGCCTTCCCAACAAGGAGGCCCTCAGAGGCCCCCCTGTTTCGTTCCAGGCGAAATCCTTGAAATCCAGCTCATCCGGCGACGAATTCCAAACCGGCGCCTACGCGAGGCCCTCAGAGACCCATTTTCGTTACATGCGAGATCCGGGAGACCCGGCTATTCCAGCGACGAATATCAAATCGGCGCCCTCGCGTGTGGCATTCGGAAAAACCGCCCGCGGAGCCTCTCCAAGGAGGCCCTCAGAGAGCCCCCTGTTCGATTTCAGGCGAGGCCTGGGAAATCCGCCGAGTCCAGCGAATCCAGCGACGAATTGACCAGCGCCCTCGCGTTGGACATCCTCAGAGAAACCGCCCCCGAGGAGGCCCTCAGAGGCGCCCCTGTTAGGTTTCAGGACAGATCCTGGAAATCCAGCGAATTCGGTGAATCTGGCGATGAATTCCAAACCGGCGCCCTCGCGTGGGACATCGCCAGAAAAACCGCACCCGGGGCCCCCCCAAGAAGGCCCCAGAGGCCTCCTTGTTCCGTTTCAGGTGAGATCCGGGAAATCCGGCGAATATGGCGAATCCGGCGACGAATTCCAAACTGGCGCCATCGCGCGGGACATCGACAGAAAAATCGTTTTCAGAGCCTCCCCAAGGAGGCCCTTAGAGGCCCCTCCTGTTCCATTTTCAGGCGAGATCGGGAGAATCGGGCGAATCCGGCGACGAATTCCAAACCGGCGCCGTCGCGTGGGACGTCCTCCCCAAAACCGCCCCGAGAGCTTCCACAAGGAGGCCCTCGGAGGCCCCCCTGTTCCGTTTCAGGCGAGATCCGAGAAATCCGGCGAAACCCGCGACGAATTCCAACTTGGCGCCCTCGCGTGGGACATCCTCAGAAAAACCGGTCCTCAGAGGCCCCCGTGTTCCATTTCAGGCGAGATCGGGGAAACCCGGCGAATCCGGCGACGAATTCCAAACCGGCGCCCTCGCGTGGGACATCCTCAGAAAAACCGGCCCCCGGAGCCTCCCCAAGGAGGCCTGCAGAGGCTCCCCTGTTCCGTTTCCTAGGCGAGATTCTTGAAATCCGGCGAATCCGGCGACGAATTCCAATTTACTGGCGCCCTCGCGTGGGACATCCGAATCCAGCGACGATTTCCAATCCAGCGCCCTCGCGTGGGACATCATCGGAAAAACGGGCCACCAGATGCTCCCCAAGGAGGCCTTCGTTTCCAGCGAGATCCAGGAAATCCGGCGAGATTCGGGAAATCTGGCGACGAATTCCAAACCGGCACCTTGCGCAGGAGATCCTGAGAAAAACCGGCCCCCTGAGCCGCCCCAAGAAGGCCCTCAGAGGCCCCCCTGTTCCGTTTCAGGCGAGATCTGGAAAATCCCCGGGGGGGGGGGATGAGAAGGACGAGGAGGAAAAAGAGGAGAGGGAGGAGGAGGACGAGGTGGACGAGGACAAGGGGAGTTACAGGAGGCAGAGGAGGAGGAGGAGGAGGAGGAGGAGGAGGAGGAGGAGGAGGAGGAGGAGGAGGAGGAGGAGGACCAATTTAAACCCAAGAGCCACCAACGATGTTGGAATACACCCTCTCTCCAGGCTCCCTCTTCATAGGCAACTGCAACGGTTCATTTCCATTGAGAGATTTGCTTCGTTGGAATACAATCGTTTGAAGACCAGACAGCATGCCAAAACATTGTTCTCGGGATTCCAAAGCCACGGATCAACCTGACCGTTGCGTCTTGACGATCTTGGATCGTGCCAAAACGCCATTCTTGGGATTTCCCCACCGCGAACCAACGTAGCTGTTGCACCCGCAAAATCCGGAATCCTTCCAAAACACCGTTTCTGGTACGTAGATCGTGGGAATCCGTGAAGCTCTTGCACATGTTATGATCGAATGTGCGCGGCGCTAAGGCGAGAGCTACATTTTGAAAAGGAACCGCCCTCGGTCCGTGAAGCTCTTGCAATTTTTTGGAACGAATGTGCGCGGCGCTAAGGCGAGAGCCACATTCTGAAAACGGGTTATCCTCAATCCGTCAAGCTCTTGCAAATTTTTAGAACGAACGTGCGCGGCGCTAAGTCGAGAGCCACATTTTGGAAACGGGTTATTTTCATTCCGTAAAACTCTTGCAGACATTGAGAACGAATGTGCGCGGCGCTAAGGCGAGAGCCGCATTTTGAAAACGACCCGCCCTCCATCTGTGAAGCTGTTGCTTATTTTTAAGCTTCAGAGTCATGCGTAGTGAGGAAGTCTCAGGCGAAACGCCTGGCCCGCCCTAAAAACTGGCCTCGGAGTGCGACAGGGAGATGTGATTTGTAAGGAAAAGGAATGGATGAGGAGGAGGAGGAGGAGGAGGAGGAGGAGGAGGAGGAGGAGGAGGAGGGGGGGGAGGAGGAGGAGGGGAGGAGGAGGAGGAGGAGGAGGAGGTGGAGTAGGAGGAGGAGGAGGTGGAGTAGGTAGAGATTGCCAGCATGGCAGCGGGTGGCGCCACGCCCGCCCGATCCTCACCCTCCTGAGTTTCATTCTCGCTATCCTCGCTCTCCTGGCCCCCCTTCTCCACATCCTCACTCTCCTGCTTTACGCTCGCCTGATCCTCACCCGCGCAACCCTCACTCTCCTGACCCTCCCTCTCGCGAGCCTCGCCCTCCTGATCCTCACGGTCATTCTCATATCGATCATTTTCCTCTCGCCGAGAAGCGCACGCCCCTTCTATCTACATACGCTCCGGATCAACCGCAGAGCGGCCGGCTAGTATCGAAACGGCTCCGCCGCGAGGCGCCGGCGCTCGCGGCGGACGCCGCCGGCCCCTCGCAGGAGACGTTGGGCGACAGCCAGCCGCCGACTGCGCCCGGGGCGCCGCCGGCCCCGCCGCCCGTCGCGGGCGGCGCGCCCATCGCGTGCTCGGGCGCCGCCGCAGAGGCTCCGAGGAGGAGGAGGGGGTCCCGATCCCATCTGACCCGTCCTCTCTTCTCCTGCCCTCCTCTCCTCCTCTCCTCCTCCGTCCTCCTCCCTCCTCCCTCCCCCCCTCCTCCTCCTCCTCCTCCTCCTCCTCCTCCTCCTCCTCCTCCTCCTCCTCCTCCTGTTCCCTCTTCCTCCTCCCTCCCCTCCTCTCTCCTCCTCTTCCCTTCTCCCGTGAGGGGCGCGGGCACAGCCGCGGCCCCCTCTCGAGGAGCTGTTCCTCCTCCTCCTCCTCTCCTCCTCCCTCCTCCTCCTCCTCCTCCTCCTCCTCTCCTCCTCCTCTCTCTCTCCTCTCCTCCTCCTCTCTCCTCTCTCCCCTCCTCCTCCTCCTCTCCTCCTCCTCTCTCCTCCCTCCTTTCCCTCCTTTCCCTCCTCTCCTCCTCCTCCTCCTCCTCTCCTCCTCCTCTCCCTCCTCCCTCCTCCTCCCGCAGGGCCTTGCAGGTGTGGTCCTCCCAGATGGGGTCGGGGGGTCGCGCCGTGCATCGCCGATGCATCGGCGATGCAGCTCGACGTGGAGCCCGAAGTTCTCCACACCAACGAAGCCGATGCATCGCCGATGTCGCCGATCCTCTGCCGATGCATCGCCGATGCGGCGCGATAGCGCCGCTCGTCTTGGAGATCCCTCGTCACTGCTGGGATCGGCGCGGGGGGTTGCTCGGGAGATGGGACGGTTGTCAGTGGCTGCCAAGGTGGGCTAGGTCTCCCTAGCCTGGCTTATATGGGGGGTCACAGCTGCCCACCCCCCAACTGGCTCAGGGATGTCAGCGAATCCGGCTCCGCAACTTTGGCGGAGGGTTCTCGCCCCCCTAATCCACTTGGGGCAGTCGTGGCCCACACGTGAGCCAGGCTGGGCCAAGCATAACCATACAACGCCCTGTGCCCCCTCGGCAACCTCCGCGCCGATCCCAGCACTGCTGGATTGTCCTCGAGCTCCTGGCCAGAGTGCGCCCCTGGAGAGGCTTTGGGACGCCGCGGGATCAGCACCAGCTCGCCGAGTCCCCAGGGGCGGGCTCGGCTGCAGTCCCCGGGCGGTCCGATTCGGCACCGGCGCGGTCGAAGAACGCTGGCGGCGCGCAGGGGGCCGGCGCGAGGGGGGCGGCCTTCTAGACAGTACGAAGGCGGGGGAGCCTCGCAGAAGGCAGGGGGCTTCTTGGAAGCCCCTCGCGGCCTTGGGTCTCTCAGGAGCCCCCTCGCGGCCCCGAGAGGCATCACTGGGACTTCCGGGCCCTTCCGAGAAGGCGCCTGCCGTTTCAGAAGCACACCACCTTCTCGGACCCCCCCCCCTCGCTCGCGCCAGCCCACCGTGCGGGCCGCCGACAACAGGCGCTCTCCGGCCTCCATCCCCGGTGCTCTGGCCCTGGCCCTGGGCCTCCTCGGGCCCGGGTCCGGCTCCGTGGCCCCGCAGTCGAGCGCAACACCGCAGGCCTAGAGGTTGACACCAACACCGATATCGGCGGCGTGCCTCCACCGAGGGAAGAAGATCCCGATCTCGGCGATGGTGGTAGTGTTCTGGCTGCCGAGGTGGCCGAAACAGTACCACCGGCACCGACATCTAGGATCATCTTCCCCCTGCGGGAGGCAGAGCCCCCTGTGTTGGTGTTGGTGCCCATTCCCAGGCCTCCAATCTCAGGCCAGGGTCCGGTCGAGCGCAGTATTCTGACACCCGCCGATCTGATTTTTTGTTCCACCCCGCTGCCCTGGGGGGTCCGAGTGGGTTGTAGGTTTTCTCAGGAGGGGAAAAAACACAGACACAATTCAATCGTCGATCCCCCAGAAAACATGGGAAAACATGGGAAGTGGGGGGGAAGACAAACACCCAGAAAATATGGGAAAGTATCGGGAATCCTGTTATTTGTATGTTTTTATTTGTGTGTCCCTGGGCCCCTTCATTTTTGTCCCATATATTCTTCGGATAGCGCCGATCGGGAGCCTTGAGGCGGGGGTCAATGCAAACGGGGGTCAGCCAGGGCGCCCGACCCTGCAGGATCCTGCAGGGCCAGGGCCGCACTGACCCGGGCTTGGGTGCAGGATCCTGCAGGATCTTGTGGGATCCCTCGCACGGACCCGGGCTTGGGCGCGGAGGAGGAGGAGGAGGAGGAGGAGGAGGAGGAGGAGGAGGAGGAGGAGGAGGAGGAGGAGGAGGAGGAGGAGGAGGAGGAGGAGGAGGAGGAGGAGGAGGAGGAGGAGGAGGAGGGAGGAGGAGGAGGAGGAGGAGCAGCAGGAGGATCTTGCAGGCTTCTGCAAGGCCTGCCCGACCCGGGGTCTGGATGGACCCGGGCCAGAAGCTCCCCGAGCCGAGGCCCGACAGAGGGGCCCGGGAGGCCGAGATGCGAGGAGAAGTGTCTGGGAATCTGGCCGACGAGTATCCGCACAATCGCTCTCACTGGGTAGTCGAAGGCCAGACTGTCAGATTGTATTGGGCCCCAAGGGCCAATTTGGGTTATTCGCCAGACTGGATTCGCGTTGGCTCCCTCGCCAGATTGCCCCCGTTTGCCAGATTGGGCCTGCCAGATTGGCGCCAGATTGGCTTCGACTACCCAGTCTCACGAAGACCTCCCAGGAGTTGCCGCCCGGCAGGGCCCACTTCGATCCGGTCGACCCGATTTGAGGCAGATTTCGGCCAGGTCGATGCGATTCGATTTCGATTTCCCGGGGATCCGACGCGGCCCGATGCGTACACGGCGCTGTTGTGCATCCTGGTGCAGCCGATCCGATTCGACTTCGACTCCGTTCCAATACGGCCCGATCCGACGCATTCCTCGGCGGCGAGCCCAAGGGTGGAATTGAGATGAGGCAGGCCTTCTCGGAAGGTGGTGGGGCTTCTCAGAATTCCTCCGAATCCGGCTGTGTTGTTGAGAAAGGCTTACAAATCTTTTGAGAAAGACCGGAAGCCTTCTAAGCCTTCTGAGAAGGCCTGCCCCCTCTCATTTTCCCCTGGGCTCGCCGCCGAATTCCGATCCGATCCGATTTCTCGATGCGATGCTGACCGATCCTGCCTGAGGTCCGACCCCGAACCCAACCTCCGGGTCGATGTTGGAGGTCGCCCCTTCCCAGCCCCCCCTTGCTTTGCGATGCAGACGTGGCTTGTAATCAACCATCTTGCGGCAGAGAGTTTTTGCTGCTAGGATCCGATAATCACGCAACCATGAGAAACCGATGCCGACCTGTCACAGGGAAACTCATGCGATGAACTGTGTCCTCCAGCCCTGGCCTGCAGTCGGGCATGTCCCTCTACAGGAGGAATGTTCAAAAATAGTTACGAAATAGTCTGGGGACGATTCTTCTATCATTTTTGACAATTCTTGAGAATTTTGAGGGTATTTCTAATTTTTCGTTCAAAATCCGCCTGCAGGGGGACACGCCCGACCTAGCCCTGAACACGCTCTGCTTTTACGCAGCCGCGCTTGTCGTGCTCCTGCACACCTTCGGCACGCCCGCGAAGGACACTACACGCTCTGAGGGGCTCCCGCCTCTGTGTTCCTCGATGCGCTCCCTGCGCGCCCCGCCCGCAGCCCGACGGGCGCCTGCATCGGCTTGAACCCGCTGGCGCCCGCTGCCTGAAATCGGGGGGCGGCCAAGAGGAAGGTGATGACTAGGGGGGTGGATATCATGGCGTGGGGCATGATATTTCTGCGTATATCATGGCGATTCTTCTTGTTTCATTACGTCCCTGGCCCCGTCCCTGGGCCGCGCACATGGTGCAGTCGGACCGAGGTATAGGATCGAGGTCGGTTCGGTGAGGGTCGCCCCGATGTTTCTCGTGCGTGTCGGATGTTCTTGTGCATCCTGGGGGAGGGCACCCTCGAGTGCTCTTCAGCTTTGGCGGTTGGATGGTCTCATGTCATTGAGGGATGTTCTTCTGGCCTTGGTCTGTGACTGTATCACGCAATCATGGGTCGAGCAAGGGATCGTCCACATAACCGGCTTTCCCCAAACTTGATTTGCTCGTCGAGTCCACGAAACACGCGTATAATGCTCGCCGATCTAGGAATATTCTACATATGTTTTGTACATTCGGTGAGAAAGCCAAGTTTGGGGTGAATCAATTTTGTAGTCGCTCCCCTCCTCGAAGGCTGGCGGGGCCGAGTCCGAGCCGCCGCGCTGTGCCTCGCTGCCCTCGCCGGGCGCGCCCAGCATGCCCACGACCGCCGAGGCGGCGGCGCAGGGCGCCGAGGGCGCCGCTATCGGCGCCAGCGCGGCCGACGCCGCGTGGGCGGGCAGTGCCGAGCTGGAGCCGACGCGCTGCGCCTCGCATGCTTCGCAGGGCTGTCGAGGAGGAGGAGGAGGAGGAAGAAGAAAAAGAAGGCGAATAAGAAGAAGAAAAAGACGAGAACAACAACGAATAGTACTTTTAGTACGGGTGGTAATATTCATAATAGAATTAGTAACATTATACGATACATATCAGTACTGTCTTAATTATTGCATCCGTAATACTAATACTAGTCGTACTAATACTATTAACACTAGGAGTACTACCACTAAACATGATACTAAGAATGAGGTCGCTAAGAATTGTGATAGTCAGAATACGAGTAGTAATGATAATGGCACGAATCATACTAATCATACTCATGATAATGACATCAACCAGAAGAGCACTACTAAGAAGAAGAGGAAGAGGAGGAGGAGGAGGAGGAGGAGGAGGAGGAGGAGGAGGAGGGAGGAGGAGGAGGAGGAGGAGAGGTGGAGCAGGAGGAGGAGGAGGAGGATGAGGAGGAGGGAAGGCGGAGGAGGGAGAAGGGGAGGAGGAGGAGGGGAGGAGGAGGAGAGGAGGAGGAGGTGGAGAGGAGGAGGAGGAGGAGGAGGAGAGGAGGAGGAGGAGGAGGAGGAGGAGAGGAAGGAGGAGGAGGGAGGAGGAGGAGGAGGCGGAGGAGACCTTTCGTCGGGGTGACCTTTTTGGTTCGGGCCCTCTGGAGCCTTCCGGGGGCTGAACGCGATGCGATAGCAGCGGCTTGCGCGTTCAGCTTTGGCCTCCCCGCGCGCGCCCCCCCCGAAAGCCGCGCACCAGAGATCACTCCTGCCTGGGGTCACTGTTGCGTGTAGTGGAGATTTGTCGAGTAGGGGGTCGATTCCATACATTCATTGGTTCAACCCATGCAGGTTCCATGACAAGTTCAGCCGTTGGGCAAGTCAATTACGCAGTCGATCTCCTACTCGATTCTGTCGGCGATGCATCGCCGATTCTGATCGTCCTCGGGTGCCCTCGTGGCCACGGCCGAATCCGCTTGAACTCTGGCCAGAAGGAGCCCACGGTGAGGTTCAGGGATCGACGCGTGACCCCTGATCAGGGGTAGCGTTAGTCAGCCGCGCGCAGACGGGGGGCAGGGGGAGGGGGGAAGGCTTCTCAGCAGCACCCCTGCTTCCTAGGAGGCGCGGGCCTTGTCTGTAGATGCAGGGCTGGCGCCTGGTAGTCAGCAGCCTCCTAAGAAGCCTCCTCCCCTCCCCCCATACCCCCTTGTGCGCGCCGCCGAGTTCGGGGAAGATGCAGTCAGCTCGCACAGAAAGGACGAACGACTTTCCAAGGTTGCCGCTGCATCCTTCTCTTTCGGCCCATCCCTTGGCCACTTTCGCTGGCCGCGCCCCGCCTGCAGAGTGTCGACGTGGCCCTCCAAGGCCCTTGCATCCTCATCGTGCGTCCTTACAGTGGAGGCCCATGCCAAGAAACGCCCTGCTTGCATCCATCCAGGGTGTCCTGGGTTTCTTGGGTTTCGATGGTTTTGCTGTGGGAAGCGTGACCTTCTCCCACCAAAAACCAATGGACGTCCTGGGGTCCCGGTGTTGGGCTTCTTGTGGCAGGTTTCTTGTGGACTGGCCCCTACTGTATTCTACGGGTTGCCTGTAGGCTGAGGCGCACCCCGGCCCGCCCTCCGGCCGCCTGAGGCCCCGCCCGCCTGTGCTCTGTCTCCCCAATTAGAGCTTTGCGTAGCCCGCCTAGTTTTTAACCGGAAGAGGCTTGCTCTCGACCCGCAGACCAACAAACTGTAGGCTGAGGGGTGGAGGCACCGCCTCCCGGTCGGTGCATCCCCCCCCCCCGAGCCCGCCGCGGGGGGCGGGTGCGGCCGAGCCGGAGCCTGCGCTTTGCGCCTCGCCGCCAGCCTCGCGGGCCAGTGCGATCGAGATGCGCGCCTCTTTCGAGGGAAGCGTGAGGCTCGAGCTCGCGGTGCAGTGGAAGCCCAGGCCAAGAGACGCCCTGCTTTCCTCCAGGGTGCCCTGGGTTTCTTGGGTTTCGATGGTGTTGCCGTGGGAAGCGTGACCTTCCCACACCAAGAATCGATGGACGTTCTGGGGTCTCAGAGTTGGGTTTCTTGTGGAAGGTTTCTTGTGGACTAGCCTCCACTGTAACTCAAGTTTGCCGAGGCTCTTTGATGAGCCCGTTCTGGATTTGGGCGGTCTGGATGTCATGGAATGTCTGCAGCGGGAGGTCGCGTCAATCTTCAGGGTTGGTCTCGAGACGGCCCCGTCAGGCCACCCGAGTCCCCGAACCCGAGTCTTACGTCTCACCGACTATTCAGAGGAGGGAGAGGTACCGATACCTCTACCCTCCCCTCGTTTGCGCCTGTTTGGGCATCCTCGGAGACCCTCGTCGCCACCGCTGGATTCGCCCCGAAATTCTGGTCAGAACGCACCTCCGGGAGAGGTCCGGGGAGCAGCAGCATCGGTGCCTTTTGGCTTCCCCCGCCTATTACAGGTGGCCCTCGTCGTCGTTGATACAGTTGCCCATCCTGTTGCCGGTTCCCTTCCCCGCCTCTCCTCCTTTTCTTGTGCATCCCTTCTGTGTGTGATATCCGCTCATATCATCATGATCTCTATATTTACTGCTGCCGTCTCGGCTCAGGTACCGGAAGCAGGTACGACGCCGCTTGCCCGCGGCGCATGGGAAAAAGGGGATCGCTGCCCTCTCCCTTGCCTTCCTCTGCTTGCGGCACTTCTTGTAGGTTCGACTTCGGTCGTCAACCTATACATGCACACCTTCTCTCCCCTTCCCCGTCACGTGCCCATGCGCTGGCCCGTGGCGCCGCAGACTCGCGAGGCTTCGGCACCAGGGGACAAGCCCTCCTCCTCCTCCTCCTCCTCCTCCTCCTCTCCTCCTCCCTCCTCCTCCTCTCCTCCTCCTCCTCCTCCTCCTCCTCCTCCTCCTCCTCCTCCTCCTCCTCCTCCTCCTCCTCCTCCAAGCAGCGTGATGGCGTGCTCAGGAGGGCGTGGGGGCCTATACTGAGATCTTGGGGACGTCTCGGGCAAGGAACACCTCGGGCAGCACCCGATGTGCTCTTCCTCCAGCTGCCTGGGGAGGGGTTCGGCCGCTGGCGGAAGTCTGCGGTCGACGCGGACGTCCTTGGGCTGCCGCTCCCACTTTCTGTCGGCGGTGAGGCAGAGGTGGTCCGCTCCAGCGTGATGCAGCTCGGGGCAACCGAATGGCTAACTGGCTGGCATGCAGGAGAGAAAAAAAGACGAGGGCGACCGCGCAGAGGGAGGAGGAGGAGGAGGAGGAGGAGGAGGAGGAGGAGGAGGAGGAGGAGGAGGAGGAGGAGGAGGAGGAGAGAGGAGAGGAGGGAGGAGGAGAGGAGAGAGAGGAGAGGAGGAGGAGGAGGAGGAGGAGGAGGAGGAGAGGAAGGAAGGAAGGAAGGAAGGAAGGAAGGAAGGAAGGAAGGAAGGAGGAGGGGGAGGGAGGGGAACTCAGGCGTGGAAGACTTCCGCGTCGAGCGGGCCTGGGCGGCCGGGCGTGGCAGGGGCCGCTCCCGCACTCGGGTCGCACGTTTGGGGGGGGGGGTGCAGTCGGGGCGCTGAAGACAGAACCCTTTTCTCGTGGGGCTCGGTGTTCCCTGATTGTTGCACAGTTCGACTCAGGTTTCCCTGAGGTTTTCCATGGGCCATCGGGGGTGAACTTATGGGAGAAGGGGGCCTCGTTCCTGATTCGGGGTTCCTTAGGTCAACGCCCCGACTGTTGGAAAAAGGGGTGGGCACGAAAGCTGATCCATGCGGCCGGTTTCGGCCCCGCCGCTGGGAGCTTTCCTCGATGCACGGGCGTCTCTGGCGCCGGGAGGCGCCGGGGGCATCAGCTACGCAGGCTGATTTGCTACCCGCCCTTTTGCTACCACCCCCTTTCGTCCGACCCGACACGAGTGCTCTCTCTCTCTCTCTCTTTCCGGCTCTCCTCGGATCGTCGCGGGGGCTGCTGAGGGGACAGAGGGGTTATCCAGTGGATGCTAAGGTGGGCTACATCAGGTCTAAGCTTGCTGTATGAGTGGGTTGCAGATGTCCCAAGTGGCACAGGGAGGTTATCGATCCAGGCCAAGTTGGCTTCGCCCACTTGGCGGAGTTATCGAACACCCCTGAGCCACGTGGGGCACTTGTAACCAACTTATAAACCAGGTTAGGTCAGATCACCCAAGTTGCCTAGGGAGGTTATCGATCCGGGCCAAGTTGGCTCCGCCCACTTGGCGGAGTTATCTGGTCCCCTAGGCCACTTGTCTCATTTGTAACCCACTTCTTAGAAGCCAGCTCAGGTAAGATGTAACCCACCTTGGCATCCACTGATAGCCCCACTGTGTCCTTGCCCCCCCCCGCGCCGATCCCCGCGAGTCGAGCCCCGGCAATGGCCCCTGGGCGCCGAAGACGTTGTGATTTTGTTCAATGCGCGACGGGGTCTGCGGCTGGGCCCACCTCGAAAAGCAAACCCACTCTGGAACAGAAGGAGCCACGGCGTCGAGAAGCAGGCACCAGCATGCTCGTGCGCTGCCGCCCGAGGCCCGGCGAGGTGCCCCCCGCGCGCTGACACGCTCGAGCCCTGCATGTGTTTCTCCCGATCGCCTGTGCCATCAGCTAGCCTACCAGTGAGCCGTCCCCAGACACCCGGCTGCTCCAACCTTTTCGATGCCTTGGGCGTTGCGTAATGGAGGGGTCATAAATGGGGGGGTGGCGAGGGTGGTCTGAAAAGGTACCCAAACGGTACCTAAACGAGCCCCCTGGGGGTCCGGAGGGGCCCGAAAGGGGCACGAAAGGGGACCGTTTCTGACCCCCCCATTTATGACCCCCCCATGAAGCCACGCCCAGATGCCTGGGCCCCGGAGGTCCAGGCCGCTTCCCTCCAGGACCGGCTCTCTTCGTCCCGAGCCGTGCCCTGACAGCAGGGCCCAGCGAGGGCCCCCGGAGGCCGACAGCGGCCCCGAAGCCGCCGGCTCCCCTTTTTTTTGCAGCGCCGGATCTCTGGGTCTGGGCGCGGCCTCCTCCTCCTCCTCCTCCTCCTCCTCCTCCTCCTCCTCTTTCTCTCCTCCTCCTCCTAGGAGGCCTCTATCCTCCTCCTCCTCCTCCTCCTCCTCCTCCTCCTTCTCCTTCTCTCCTCCTCCTCCTCCTCCTCCGCCTCCCCCTCCTCCTCCTCCTCCTCCTCCTCCTCCTCCTCCTCCTCCTCCTCCTCCTCCTCCTTCTGCTCCTCCTCCTCCTTCTGCTCCTCCTCTCCCAAAGGCCGCCGCGCGGCCTCTCTGGGTTCGTTCGCCCGTCGAGCAAGCAAAACAAAAAGCACGCCCTGGCTGCGGCCCGCCCCGAGGAGGCCGCCGCGGCCTCGCCGGGCGCCGCCGACCCCTGGCAGGACGTGCCCATCCTCGCGGCGGCGGGGCCCCTGCTGGCGGCAGCCTCGCAGGGCGCGGCGGAGCCCGCAGAGCGCGTCCCGTCGGAGCAGGACCCGCTTGGATCGGGGGTGATGGGCATGTTTTCCACCACAACCACCATAAGTTGGATGGGGGGAAGGATGATGCTGATGCTGCTGCTGCTGCTGCTGATGATGATGATGATGCTGATGATGATGATGATGATGCTGATGCTGATGCTGATGCTGATGATGATGCTGAGGATGCGGATGAGGACGATGATGATGATGATGATGATGATGATGATGATGATGATGATGATGATGATGATGATGATGATGATGATGATGATGATGATGCTGATGCTGCTGATGATGATGAGGATGCTGCTGCTGCTGCTGCTGCTGATGATGATGATGATGATGATGATGATGATGCTGATTATGCTGCTGCTGATGATGATGATGATGATGATGATGATGAGGAGGAGGAGGAGGAGGAGGAGGAGGAGGACCCCCTCGGGTTTTGCCGACGTGTTTTGGCGAGCGCGTCCTGGATTTTTACCTTCCAGTTTTCGTGGGATGTCTGCAGCAGGAGCTCGCGTCGAATTTCAGGTTGGGTCTCGTCGTTTTCATGATGGCCCCGTCAGACCAGCCCGAGTCTCCTGTACCCGAGTCTTGCGTTTCCCCGATTCGAGGAGGAGATCGACTACAGAACCCATCTACCCCCAAGCTCGATGTCGTCGTCTCATCTTCTAAGACATGCGTGGGATTCCCGTAGACCTACCAGCCCTTGACCCGCAAGTTCGGCGGGAGAGCAAGTTTGGGGCATGTCGGCTCTGTAGGTGAGCGTTTTTTTATTCCTTGTTTTACCGATCGGCGCGGGCCCTCGCCCCCCCCCCCTCCCCCGCCATGGAGTGGATCTTGGCTGTCTTCTGGCGCCTGTTTCGAGCGGGTGGAGTCTCTCCCAGAGGACGCATGGTTCCAAACAGCCGCACTGAGCAGAGGTCCGGAGCCAGATCCCCCCTCCTCCCCTCCCCCCCCCTTCCTCCCAATGTCGAAACGCCGAATGCCAGAAAAACGATCACTAGTGGATCTCCTGCTCGACCTCTCGCGTCGTGAAAAACATGCGGCGCGCGGCCTTCCGCGAACCTCTCGGCCCCCGAGGGGGGCTGCCTCGGGCCTCGGCACCGCCAAGGCACGATGTGGGATGAGCGCCGGGTGCCTGGGAAGAGTCGGCCACTTGCAGAGGGAATAGGGTTAAGTCGGGCCTGTTCCCCTACAGGAGGAATATCCAAAAATAATCCAAACATAGTCGGGAGACGATTTTTTACCACTTTCGAGCGTTTTTTTTTTTTTTTTTTTTTTTTTTTTTTTTTTTTTTTTTTTTTTTTTTTTTTTTTTTTTTTTTTTTTTTTTTTTTTTTTTTTTTTTTTCCTTTTTTTTATGTTTTTTGTTTTTTCTTTACTCATTATTTTTCGACTAGCTTCAAGTTTTCGTCCAAAATCCGCCTGTAGGGGGACATGCCCGGCCTAGGGGTGGGGGGGAGGGGAAGGCTCATCAGAAACGCACCCTGCTGCTTGGGTGGCGCGGTCCTTGCCCACGGCCTCCAGGTGCAGGGCCGGCGCTTTCTGAGAGGCGGCCTCCCTCTAAGAAGCCCCCCCTTAGTAGAAACACCCCTGCTGCTTGGGTGGCGCGGGCCCTGCCCACGGCCTCTACGTGTCGGGCCGGCGCCTTGCGAGAGGCGGCCTCCTTCTAAGAAGCCCCCCCCCTCGCCCTGCCCCTCATTTTTGATGTTCGAACCTACTTTGGCCACGATCACCAGAAAGAGTTTCGAGCACCACGAATGTACCGAGAGTGGAGGGTTTTCGCACGTCGGACCCTGCCTGGGCGGCGATACTCGCTCGACACTGCTTCGACACTTTTCGGGCTGCTCGAAATCGTTCCTGGGATGTGCTCCTCAAGTACAAGGGGAGCAAGATAGCCCCCCATGCGCGCGCCGCCGAGGGGTCCCCTCCCCGTGAGAAAATCACGGCGTCGGGGGCCCTGGGACCAGAGGACCTGCCCCTGCCCGCGGCGCCCGCGCCCACGGGGCCGGCGGAGCGCAGCCCAGCCGAGGAGGGCGTGCCCCCGCCGGCGGCGCCCTCGCAGGGGGCGGCGGCGCCTTCAGAGTGCATCCCCGCGGAGCAGGACGTGCCCATGCTGGCGGCGCCCCCGCCGGCGGCGCCCTCGCAGGGGGCGGCGGCGCCTTCAGAGTGCATAACCGCGGGGCAGGACGTGCCCATGCTGGCGGTGCCCCCGCCGGCGGCGCCCTCGCAGGTGGCGGCGGAGCCTTCAGAGTGCATCCCCGCGGGGCAGGACGTGCCCATGCTGGCGGTGCCCCCGCCGGCGGCGCCCTCGCAGGGGGCGGCGGAGCCTTCAGAGTGCATCCCCGCGGAGCAGGACGTGCCCATGCTGGCGATGCCCCCGCCGGCGGCGCCCTCGCAGGTGGCGGCGGAACCTTCAGAGTGCATCCCCGCGGGGCAGGACGTGCCCATGCTGGCGGTGCCCCCGCTGGCGGCGCCCTGCATGCCACCAGCGGAGGAGCATCGGGAGCCGTCCAAGAGGAGGGTGATTACCAGGGGGGGAGGGATATGTCATGGTTGGGGCCATGACGCCTCCTCGCTTTCATGCCCCCTCCTTCTTCTCTCGATGCGCTTCCTTGGCCCATGCGCGCCCGCGCACATGCCGCTGGCCATGACTTGCGAACCCGCCTTTTGGACGCCCCCCTCTTAGACTCTAGCATATGGGGTCGGAGTAGATGGGGTCGGAGGATCGAGCTGCATCGCCGATGCATCGGCGATGCGGCTCGATGTGGGGCCCGATTCGCTTCACGTCGACGTCGCCGATGCATCGCCGACGTCGCCAGCGCATCGCCGATGCATCGGCGATACATCGGCGATGCATCGGCGATGCGGCGCGATCCTTCGACCCCCTCTACTCCGACCCCATCTAGGAGGCCTAGAGTCTAAGCGGGGGGCGTCCAAGAGGCGCTTTTTCTTCTTCTAGTCTTGGACGCCCCCCTCTTAGACGCCTCCGAGAGCAGGACGTGCCTACGCCGGCGGCGCCCACGCCGGCGGCGCCGTTGGCCGCGCCGCGGAGCGCGGGCGTCGCGGCGGGCGCGGCCGCCGCCGCCGCGGGGGCGGGCGGAGCGGTGCCGGAGCCGCCGCGCTGCGCCTCGCAGGCCTCGCAGGCGTCGCAGGGCTGTCGTTGATCTGTCGGCGATGCATCGCCGATGATGACGGACCTGTTGGGATAGTCGCGCGGCTTTGCTAAGGGGATAGGGGGTGATCTGTGGATTCCAAGGTATATTTGGCCTGAGCTTGCTATGTGGGTGCGGTACAATGCCCCAAGTGGCTCAGGCGGGTTGGCGATCCAGGCGAAGTTGGCTCTGCCCATTTGGCGGAATTAATCCTCAATCCTATACCTATATAATTCTGTTACCCCGCCGCAGCCAGTTCCCGACTGGCTCCACCCGGCCTGGGGCCCCGATCCATTTTGCGATCCGCTGCAAAAAACGGGGCGCGGTGCACAGCGGCCGATCTAAAGATCGTCTCAGCTGGAACCAAATCTGCACTCACAGTGGTATGGCGTGGACGTTTGCAAAACAATTGCCACTGGGTGGACATCTGCTGCTGCCAATACTTACGATCCCCGGCCAAACATACCATTCGGTGCACATCTGCTGATGCCAATCCCAGCGATCCCTTGCAACAGCGTGCCAGTCGGTTCACGTTCTTTGATCTTCAGAACCATCCAATATCACGAGTCCTTGCAACATATACAGCGGCTGAAATGCACAGCGACCCAACATTCACCATCCGAGATGCAACATCTGGGCATTCCCACAACCATCCAACGTGCGCGATCCTTTGAAATAGATCAAGTGGTGGACATCGGGTGATGTTCTCAACGCGCTCCCTGGCCTCCAAGACGTTCCCAGGCCCTCCCAGACGCTCCCAGACGCTCCCAGACGCTCCAATCGCTCCCCTAGCGCTCCCAAGGTCGCCGTCGGCACAAGCAGCAACATCTACATCCGCATCTTCACTGTTTCAGCGGTGTCGTCGCCGCAGGAGGCGTCAAAAAACAGATGAATCACATCGCGTTGTCGCGGTCAGATTGTTGAGGACGTGATCTTATGAGAAGGGGTAGAAGCAGGACGCAGGCACGCTCCAAGATGGCCCCGAGACAACCCAGAGGTGCTCGGAGGGTACATGGGATGCAAGACCTTGTGTGCGCGATGAGGGGATAGGTCGCTCTCATGGGAATGGCTTAGGGCGGGGGGGGGATGATCTGGTGCAGACCCTTATGATTCAATTCCCCTAAATCATGTAGGGCTCAAGCCACTTATAAGCTAGGGGTCCGGGCCCCGAGATATCCAATCTGGCGGAGTGAGCACCACGAGGGACCTGAAGGCAGGCCACTCTTGCCCCCCGGCACGGTGGCGGATTCCAGCGTCTTGATTGCAGGCGTCGCGGTGCCTCTCTCGTCTCCCTTTCCCTCCGTGCCTGGCCTCTGTGGCCCTCCGCCCTGCCCTCTCGGGGGCGGGTCGCGCCCGTTCCTTCGTTCTTCAGCCTCGTTGGCCCGCGCCTCGGGGAAACGGTTGTTAGGGACAACGTCAGGGGGGTCCATGTGTCGATTTTGGGCCTTTGATCAGGGGCAGCGCTTGGGGGGCATAGGCTTGGGCTGGCCCTTGGCCGCCCATGGAGGTCGCCAGTATAAAAGGGGCCTGAGATGGTCCACTCCGCCCAGGTGCGCGCGGCTTCGCTCTCGGGGGGATGTCCCCGATCTGTCGGCGGTGCGTCGGTGATTCCAGGTCGACGATCTCCCCCAGGATCGGGCGACGAAGTCTATGCGTATCCAGTGCGCGCTGGCCAGGGCCATCCTGGACCCAGGAGCTGTGCGCACGCCCCTCCCAGCCAGGCTTAATTCGCCCATGTCCCTCTACAGATTGTCAAACAGTAGTAGGGGAACGATTCTTTAGCATAGTATTTATATATGTATGTATGTGTGTATGTGTATATATATATAGATATGTATTGGTGTATATTTAAGTATATGTATAGATACACATATATATAGAGAGATAGTGCGAGAGAGAGAGAGAGATATAGAGAGAAAAAGAAAGATAGAGGGAAAGAGAGAGAGAGAGAGAGAGAGAGAGAGAAAGAGAGAGAGAGAGAGAGAAAGAGAGAGAGAGAGAGAGAGGATTTTTCATTTTCCGTCCAAAAGCCGCCTGTAGGGGGACGTGCCGATCTAAAGCCAGGTCGCGAGGGCGCGGCACATGAACCGCTGCTGGATTCGGGATGGGCCTGGCCAGGGAGCAGTGCAATCAGCGTGCCTCGCAAGGCCGCGCGCCTTCTTCCGGGGGTCCCTTGTGTCTTTGCCTCTGCGGCCCGTCCTTTGCCGTTTTCACTGATCGCCCGCCGTCCAAAAGATCCCAACTTCGGCCTCCAAGGGTCTTGTGTCCTTACCACCCGTTCTTCATACACGTTTTAACTCTATGTACAGATTTCGTCGCCCTACCATGGGTCAGTCCCCCCTTGCTTCTCCCGCACGGCTTGGGGGGGGCGGCGCAGCGGCAGAGCGGGCCGCGGCGTCGGTAGCGCCGCCGTCGTTGTCGACGTCGGCGGGACGTCCCCAGACCTTCTCGCGTCGCGCGGGGGGCCTTCCCGGAGATCCTGGCGTCTCAATTTTTCGAGCCGGGCGCTTTCGCTTCGCCCGGCTTCGGGCCCAAGGGCCAAGGGCCCTGACAGATCGATCTGGCTCGCAGAGTGGTGCAGGGACATGTCGCCCGGGGCTTTGGTTGCGATTTTTCCCCATGCTGCACTTGTTTCTCACCACCCACCAAACCACCCCAACCCAACCCGAAGGCCTCCGTTTGCCCTCCATTTCCAGTGGGGGGGGGTGTCGGGAAACATCGAAAAAACACGTCTGGAACCCTTACCCCCCCCAACCCGAAATTCGGGTCTTCGGGTTGGGTTGGGGTGGTCTGGTAGGTAGTCAGTTTCGCTACGTCGGATCTTCGGGGCACCCACGTCGTGAAGGCATCACGGCGGGTCCTTGCTTGGCAATCGTCGGCCTCTCCCGAGAACCTCGCCGGACCCGTGGGGCCGTCAAGTATGAAAACCGGTCCCTTTGGGATTGGCGCGGGGGTTGCTAAGGGGATAGGGCGTGATCAGTGGTTTCCAAGGCGGGGTTATTTCTGGCCTAACCTAGATTATGGGTGAGATCCAAGTGCCCCAGATGGTTCAGAGGGGTTAGCGGTGGGTTCCGCCCACTTGGCGGAGTTATCGAACCCTCCTGAGCCGTTTGGGGCGTTTGTAACCCCCCCATGAGCCAGGTTAGGCCAGATCTACCCCCCAAGTGGTATCCACGGATCGATTCCGTATCCTGTTAGCAGCCCCCGCGCCGATCCCAGCGGCGAGGTGGTTTAGATGTCCAGGGGGTCTCACGAGTCCCAGCCGTTTCCTGGGGATATTTTGTTTCGCCCCGCATCCGTTAATGGCAGCAATGCCCGACAACCGCAGGGCCCAAGTCGAGGGACAACGCCCAGATTGAACAACCGTTTAAATCAGATCGTTGGAGATTCAGGTTTTCAATCCATATCTCGGGCCTCTGGCGGCGGTTCGGGACGATTCTGGCCCCCCCCCAGAACGTCCTCGGCGAGGCGCACGTGCTGGAGAGCATCCCGAGGCTGGAAAACCGCAGAGCTCCGAGGAAAGCCCCCCCGACGACCTCGAACCTTGAGCCTCGACCGCGGCGGGTCGGCGGCGGCTCTTCGGCGCACCCGAACACCGTTGGCCAGGGGCACTCCTGCCGCGACCCGCGCAGGCGATGGCCTCGCAAGGCTCGGCGGTGGCGGCGGCGCAGCGGGAGGCCTGGCAGCTCGAGCGGGCGGCGGCCTGCCAGGACGAGGCGGAGGCGGAGGCGGCGGCGCGGCGCGAGGGCTCGCAGCTGGAGCACGGGGGGCAGAAACAAATTGCTGTCTCCCCTCTCCTCCTCCTCCTCCTCCTCCTCCTCTCCTCCTCACCTCCTCCTCCTCCTCCTCCTCCTCCTCCTCCTCCTCCTCCTCCTCCTCCTTCCTCCTCCTCCTCCCCCTCCCCTCCTCCTCCTCCTCCACTCCTCCTCCTCCTCCTCCTCCTCCTACTCCTCCTCCTCCTCCTCCTCCCTCCTCCTCCTCCTCCTCCTCCTCCTCCTCCTCCCTCCTCCTCCTCCCCTCCCTCCTCCTCCTCCTCCCTCCTCCTCCTCCTCCTCCTCCTCCTCCTCCTCCTCCCCTCCTCCTCTCCTCCTCCTCCTCCTCCTCCTCCTCCTCCTCCTCCTCCTCCTCCTCCTCCTCCTCCTCCTCCTCCTCCTCCTCCTCCTCCTACTCTTCCTCCTCCTCCGCCTCCTCCTCCTATTTCTCCTCCTCCTCCTCCCCCCTCCTCCTCCTCCTCCTCCTCCTCCTCCTCCTCCTCCTCCTCCTCCTCCTCCTCCCCCCCTCCTCCTCCCTCCCCTCTCCCCGCTCCTCCCTCCTCCTCCTCCTCCCCCTCCTCCCCTCCTCCTCCTCTTCCTCCTCCTCCTCCTCCTCCTCCTCCTCCGCCCTCCTCCTCCTCCTCCTCCTCCCTCCTCCTCCTCCTCCTCCTCCTCCTCCTCCTCCTCCTCCTCCTCCTCCTCCTCCTCCTATTCCTCCTCCTCCTCCTCCTGTCACCTGCTTGATGTCTCCCTTCTGTTCCTTCCCGCCTGCCCGCCCGCCTACGTCGCCCCGCCGGCCCTGGCCTGTCGCCTCCGCGTTCGCCGTCGTCTGCTTGCTTCTCGTGCGCTTTTCTCCCGCGCCGTCGTTGCGCAGCGCGGACCGCCGGGAGCCCGCGGCGGAACGCCGAGTCCTTGGGCCGTCAAGGCGGCAGCTCAAAGATGGGGCCCAGAGGGGATTGGCGCAGGGGGTTGCCGAGGGCCTCTGGGGATCGAGGTTTTCGGTCGGCTGCGCCGGATCTCGACTGGTGTTCAGCATCGGAATGCTCTCCAGCTGTGTCTCGCCGAGAGCGTTCTGGGGGTGCCTGGATCGACCCGAACGGTCGCCAGAGGCCCGAGTCATGGCCGGAAAACCAGCTGGGAC